ATATTCTAATATATACAATGCATACTTAGTTTTCACCCTCCTAAAACAATCTGCCGTGGGCATGCCCACATGTTTTTAAGGGTTTTGGAATTGGGCTTTGTTGAAAAAAAATGTTTATAATTCCATGCAAAACATGACAGACACCAGTTTCAACTTGATCACTGCCTAAATGTGTTGAAGTTTGAGTACCAGAGTTCTTTGCGGTATACTGTAAGTAGATCCTCTTACAATGACATGGCTCAGAATCAGATGTAATAATGCGGTTGAATGTATAATACTAATATTGCCGTTTTCAACATATTCCATCTCTCTCTGTCTCACGTTTTCATATGTATAATTGTGTAAAATGCCAGTAGGGAAATTACTCTTCACAGAGTCCAACCGATCACATCATCCGCCTTTCAGCTGTGGTAAGACCTTACAGAGAAAATTTAAACATCCGCTGGTTATTTCCCTGAATTCTTCTACAAATATCTGCACATGATACTGTCTGATCATGCCATAGCAAAAAAACATGGAAGCAGATGGTGTGCTGATACGTACGATCAGCTTCCGTTTGTGCTTGAACTCCACAGTGTGATTGTACACTCGGATCTTAAGCCCGTGTAATCTGTGGTGTTCATCGTGCTCTTCGCTGTCGTCATCTTCATCATCTTCTTCGCTGACTCCACGACTGTGGTCCTCTTCACTGCTCCTGTCATCATCATCATCATCATCATCATCATCTTTGATATGTGCATTGATACCCTCGATGTAGACATCTGGAAGGTTGTTTGGCAAGTTGCTGGTCATGACCAGCACATAAGAGTGTTCACCCTCAAACTCATGTTTCATTCTATCAAATGTTCTGTACTCAGGGTCTCCGTTGATAGTGCACTTGCTGAAGTCTGCGGAGCAACAAGTAGAGCAGTTAAAAATGAGCGGATAAGATAATATAGTGTAGATATATCAGAGTTAATGATGCTATTTACAACCTGTAGACTGGCAGTAATAATCGCCCTTCTCATTCTGAAGGCAGACAGCATCTCCGTCACACACGTCTTCATCATCACAGTCAATTTTCCCCACGCCATCATCCTTCTCACATTCACATTTCTGACTGCAGTGATTGGTGTACCACTCTTCATTGAACTGACAAGAAAGAAAGAGTCAGCAAACTTCTCGCACCAATCTCTACAGTAATGCGCTCCACTTTTTTTGCAATAATGATAAGGCCTTTAGAAAGTAGTTCTAAGTATTTCAAAAATTAGACTTGATGAAGATTTATTCTGAACTGTCACTCACTTGGTATTTGGTGCCGTTCCTGTCCACACAACCACACTGTTGCACAGGCACACAAGCCCTCTTTTTCTGTACAAAGCCATCATTACACACGCATCCTGGCACGCAATCGTCATTGTCACTGCAGCGTGGTGGACCATTCAGGTTTGCACAAGTTGGACTGCATGCAGGGATGCAAGTGGTGTAATGACTGTTGGCTGGGCATGAAGGTGCTAGAGAGGAACAACAATAAACTTAGGGGAAAGTGTACACGCTTAATCATACGATTCATAATGTAAATGTATTGTTCTTTTGTATTTGTCTAACGTATAAATTATACATTCTGTGAAATTCTGAACCATGTTCCAGTTTCTTTTTTAAACATAGAAATGCAATTTTTTTGAACTTACTTGGTAAAAGAGTGGTACTTGGTTGTGGTCTGGCTGTTGT